AAAGATCAATCAACAGTTAGCAATAAATGAATATAAACGAAAACACATCTTTTAGTTGCTGGGTGAACATTCGACGGCTACTGAAGGATGGGACAGACGAGGAGAGTAGAAAGTTTTCATTATCTCCCTGGTTAAATGTTGCGATCGAATCTTCGCAGGAGTATCACCCTTAAATTGTAGAACCAAACATATAATCTTTTTCTCCACAGTTGCCAGTTCATGTTTGCGAATATCGTAGCTTATGTCGTCTTTATTGCACTTATCTGGATATCCGTTCTCTCTTAGAATGTCTCGGATGACCTGAAGTTCTTTCTCTACATAGTCTTCGGAACAAATGAACGTCTCTCCAAATGCTAAGCACCTGATCCGATTACTCCTGTATTTCATCGGTACGAAGCTTAGGAAGTGTGTGTACTGAGCTTTGGTCTCTAGCTTTATAAATATAACCCTTTTGCTGGAACCATCCTCTCTTCTCGTACGTAGGACGTCGGGGAAGTGCAGAGAATCGTTGTATTTTCCTTGTTAGGTGAAGTGGACCAGTGAGTGAGCATTATTGAAGTTGCCCGAAATCAAATCACTAGTTAACCCTTCATCTTACAAAACAAAAGCGTCAACGATGTAATGACAACACATTTCCATTTTTGCCATTTCATATTTCAAAGGACTATTTTCTAATTTTACTAGAAATATGCTCGCGAATCTATTATGATTGACGCATGGCTTGTTCCTCCTGAATCCAGCCTGTTCCAGTCGAAGTTTCTCATCCAGGGCGTGTTTGATTCCCTCCAGGATGATGCCGCTTAGTATTTTACTTGGGATGGACAGGAGCCTAATGCCACGCCAGTTCTTGCATTGACTTAAGTCTCCTTTCCTTGGCAGTTTGAATAAGTAGCCTTCCTTCCAATCCTAAGGTACCTTGGCCTCTTTCCACACCTTTTCCAGTAGTGGTGTCATCAAGTTCGCTGATGTCCCGGGGTCCATCTTCACTGCTTATGTGGGGATTCCGTCTGGTCTTGCTGCTTTTCCAGTGTTTAGCATCTTTATTGCCTTCAGGATTTCTGTTCTCGTCGGAGGGTCGATGTCCACTGGTAGTTGTACTTCCCCTGTTCGTATTATTGGGCGCAGTATTAAATGATATTCTATTTCACAGGTTCTCATCATCTGCAAACCACCTGGAGTTACAATGGTTATAAATAATGACATTTCATACTTCAATGTATGAAAGGTAATAAAGAAAACATTATAAGATGAACGCTTCCGGAATATAAGTATTACAAATTTAGGTTTAGGTAACTTAAAGTAACTTATTTATAACCATTGTAATTTCAGGTAGTTTGCAGTTGATGATAACCTGTGGACTGGAATAATATCATTTTACGTTGCAAACCTGGTCTTTCTTCCTCTGTCGAAAATACTATTTATTTTGACACCCTATAACTAATCTGTTATTCTACGTAAAAAATGTATTCGCTGCATAACTGGCCATTATTGCAACGACAACAAATTATTGTAAGAACCTGAAGAGAAATTGTTGAAAAGAATATTCTTCGTCTTGATTGACTTTTAATTCGTGATGCGGGAATATTTCAACCTATTTAGTAGTGGCTGATAATAATTTTATTTCCCAAACAAAATCAAATCTTTGTTTCTGGCTATGACATGTGCACAAAGTCACTGATCGTTAATGAAACTTGCACCAAGTCCTACTAAAAATTATAACAAGCAATGAATTTGTTGCTGTTCTGGGCACCAAATACACATAGATAGAAGTTTATTTTAAGTGCATTATCATAGAATAAACTACAGGTTTGTAGATCATGTCAAAACGTCGTGGTGTCGAATGCGTCTTTCTTGTCAACTTTGCCTGGATTTGACGGGAGGCAAATAGCAGTGTCAGATGACTGAAACTGTAAAAATGACATGAATACTGAAAAAATTGCAAGTATTAGTAGCCTGTAAGGCAAAAATACCATTCAAGCACTTCTGTCCTGGATTTGGTAGATGAAAAGTCGAATTAATCCGCAATAGCTTGTTGGTACAAAGTTATTAGTGGATGTTAGTCACTACTTGGGTAAAGTATTCATCAGATTTCTTGATGGTAATTATTTCAATCTTCGGGTGTGCAGGCAACATACTGAATGCTGGCAGTTTGTGTGGTCCCAGCACTCTATTCAAGTAATGCTAGCGTAGGCGATAGCACGACTGTTTCATCCTCTATGTCTATGGACTCCAAAAAAGAAGGCAGACGAATAATGCAAGGGAAGTAAACAAGTGGATAGTTATTACTAAAAGGTCAAAATTATCAACATTTATTGAAAATTAGCAAAAGCAACCCTCACAGCCGCGACATTGGTCAACTTTTACCTAGACTTTGATTTTTAGTGCTGAAATATTTTCTTTTGCACTAGCGAATAGTTTAAACGTGTAATATTAATTAAGAAATGCCAGGCTCTGGCCATTAGATATAATCAGTGGGGCTCCTATATAGCCAGAATGCGAAACGTATGTAAAAAGTTTAGCGATGTACATGCTGCTGTTCTTATGTATATAATTAGGTGAAAGTTTGTGCTGTAACGAAGTGTCAGTGCTTTTTTGGCTGTTGTCTAACTTAGCTAGAGTGAGCCTCCAGCCAATCGATCACATGGAAATATCCCCAACATCGAGTAGACACACAGAATTCAGAATTAACTAAAACAGCCACTATGAAAATAACAACTTTATTATCCACAATAGGATGCATGTATCGTTTACCTATCAATAGAAATTTGAAGCACAAATCAGTAATCAGTATCCGACTGACTGCATCATTCCTGACTACGTTAACAACAGCAGTTTGTGCACCATAACTTTTTGAAACAGCGAATTTGTGCCATATTATTGCTTCGAAAATTGTTTGTCCATAACTCCTTATCGGGTGCATAGGAAGCTATTAATCCCTTGGTAAAACTCAGTGGGACATAGTAGACTCACAAATAATTAGGAAAGTATAGTCCCTACTCACTTTCGACCCGCACATCCTAATAACTAGTCACCTACTGAGTGCGCTGTTCCACACCACACCATGGTCCAACTTCGTGTATTTTGGCCACATTAGGTCAGGGACATTTTTAGTAGATTAGGATATATGGATATATTTGTAAAACTTGGGCACTATGGTAGTAAGTAATTCTATATTAGTTTGTTTATTAGATGTTTCACTATATAATGCATCTAATAAACAAACTAATATAGAATACATGGACGCATATATAAGACTAGCAAGTTTTCCCCACAATTCAGAGTTTGTGTTACTTTACATTAACTAGCAATACGAAGTGCTATAAAGCATCTACATCAGCAGTAACAAAAGTTAGGTCATGAGTGACAAAATTATTCAGTGGAGTGTGTTTGGAAAATCAACGTTTGCGACTGAAAATCGGCAGCTGACCTGCTTGCCAGAAGCAGAACAAAAGTGGAATTCAGTCTACTCCTTTTTCTTGGTACTGGTTGGGTGACAATTAATTCTTTACTTTTATCAAGTAGAAATCTACTTATGAATTGTGAAGTGGACCTCCATAATGATCTGTTGTTGACCTATTATTAAATCTTCAACATGCAAGTTTTCTTTTGATATCCTTTGCATTAATAAATTATATTCTGAGTTCTGGAGGGCTGTCTTCTGATATCGGAGAAAATTCCTGATTGTGTCATTGGTAACTGTCAAACTGTATGCTGCAGTGCGTTGGTGGCACAGCGGTTAGGACGCTCGCCGATTATGCACGTGATCTGGGGTCCGATCCCCGGCAAATTCCCACCTGATATCAACGGTTGGCCTGCTAAATTTGGCCTACCGATATCATATGCTGAAAATTCCATAGTATTTGTGTGGAATCAAGCTATAACAAAGAATAATTATCCACCACTTTCTAGTGTTTGGTACACAAGAATGCTTAGATCAACGACAAAATTGGAATGGTGTTAAGTGAAACCTCTCCAAAGACGGTCAGAATTATGGAATGAGACAACCGGTGTATATAGCAGAAACTAGTAGCTAAATGTGATCCTCTCGCTCCTCTCAGAAATAAGGAAAAATGAATGTGCAGCATATCAATCAATATCTTTACCAGCATTTTACATTCCCTAAGACTAGTTTTGGTGCAATTGTTTACAAAGGTCGGTGAATGCGTTATATGTTACAGGCGAAACAGGGAATCGTAAAAAGGTGATTATGTTTTATTTCTAGAGGCCATATCAATTTTTAGTCCAGCAGAGTGCAGCCGTACCCATCTTTATTATATTCCTGGTATATCGGGGTGTCCACGCTAAAACAGGTCTTTTAACCACAGTATCCGACACTGTTGATGGCACACTAACAAGTGATCCTAATAAAATATTCCCCATATTGATTATGGAATCGACAGAAGTGTCCAACTGGACACTCTTCAATGTATAATTTTGCTAAATTATATAGCCTGTGCATGTCACATGATTTCTTGAATCACGCAATGAGACAGCCGTATTCCAAGGAAGAACGTTTCTACTTGTCTTTCGTTGAAAATAGTTTGGCGACACAACCCAGATTAGGTTGAAGCTTCAGATTAAACGTCAACGTGGTTCTGATGTACTTATATGGTTATAAGTGTATTTATAAGGTTATAATTGCCCTTTAGAAATCTTTCGGCCAAAGGAACTTACCTGTGATTTACCTAGTAGGTTGTATCACACTGTAACAAAGACATTTAGTCCTCTTTAGTCTTAACTTGGTAACAGGTTAGTTAAAATCATATCCTAAGTCAACTGTATGATTAATCAAATATCCAGTATTCTTTTTAGGAAATGGTATGAACAGTATGAAGTTATTCAAGTGCGCTTCTCAGAAGTGATATAACGGTTCTTGTAAAGTTAATCTGAGCCTAAAGCAAGCACAAACCCTTCTGGATAACTGCTTAAGAACAATTACGCTTCGATATCGTTTGAATAGATTGTTAGGATTGATGGCCGCGCACTTTTCGAAGGTTTTAATGGCCACAAGGTAGCTGCTAGCGTGTTCTGACAACTCGGACTAATGTGTCCATTATTTCACCAATAATTATCTTTTTAATTTTTAGTGATAACCGTTATTCTGTTTTCGTTGGCAACTTGCCACCGAATACTATTCAGGGACATTTCGACACTATATTTTCAGGTTGTAATGTAAGCCTCCCTCACATAATGTAGTAATTATGTAGATAGCTAGTGTAAGACTGGTAAGAGATAAACAGACAGATGAGTTTAAGAGATATGCTTATGTTGACTTCAAAGATGAAGAGTCTCTGAGAAATGCCTTATCTATGGATGGTGCGGTAAGTCATCATTTATGCTCCAAGATTGTTGTGTAGACTCTTGAAAATCATTGTCTCAGGGTAAATCTGGCGCACGAAAAACCTGGACGTGGTAAGTTTTATGTTGGTGAGAATGTGGACTTTTTATGCTCATCTGGATTTTACTCATATGAAGTATCTCATACATGTCGGCACTTCAACCTCTGTATTATCTTTTGCCTTCGTCACAGTTTGAAAAACTCCTATGTCTACTAGGTAGAAACAATAGTCTACTCCAAAGTCCTGATGCTGTCTTGTCAAGCTTCTAGTTGATCCGAGTCGGCTGTTATAGTTTAGCCAAAACTCCCAGCCGTACCGAAAAGGATGCATATTTTACTTATCCTAGATGCCAATTGCATTTTTTCGGATGCTTTGACATTATGCGTAACGTATGTATGTTGTTTGTAAGTAATTTGTCCATATAATGAGACTGCAACCTTATGTTTCTTAGCAACTGTTGAGTAAGACTAAGTGTGCCATTGGCCTTCATTCGAAATAATTTCTGAGTAAATGTTTCAGTCTTAGGGGTTATCACTGACGATTTTGATTTAGTGTGATGCAAAAATTTGCGACAGCGATGGCCAGGCTGTGATGTACTGATAGTGCTATTGATAAGCTACATTTTTCCAGGCCTTTTTAGACGTAATTCACCAATGTACCCAATAAATTAGTTCTCTACTTAAACTGTAGGTACTGACGGCAAAACGAATTAAAGGATTAGTTATTTGGAGATGTGTTCTTGTTTTCGGAATTTTTTTTTATGAGTAAACAGGACAGGATTACTCAGGGAAGAATTAGCACTTATCTAACGAATATGTCTGTATTACAAACTCAAAGGATGTGCGTGTTAGCAGCACAACAGAAAGGCGCAAGACTTCATAACCAGTCCGAATGTATACACGTTGAAACAAAGTCCTAGAACATTAGAAATTGCACTATATACTAACCACTTGTATCCGCTTCCAACATCGTAGTAGTGACATTTCAGTCATATTGCAGTAAGCGGAGGGAATATCATTTTTGTTTTTGGAATTAAGCGACATTTTATCTGTCCCCGCTAACGTTATCAATGTAGGGAATATAAATGTTTGCAAATGAGCTCACAGACTGCAGTGATCATTGTTTTGGGAAACATTAAGAAATCTTCTTCGTTCTTGTTATTGAACTGGCGTTTAGAGCGTAAGTGCCAAGGTTTGTAATTTCACTCAGTGTTTGGTATGATTTCAAATGAGCGTATATTTCTGGATTTCTTCAAGATTTTATTTACGTATGCATTTCATCACTACTAAGAAGTTCTATTTGGATTTTTTATCGGTTAACCTTTGAAGGTGGAGGCCAAGGCCATGGGGGTCAGTTTGGCATGAACAATGGTTATGGACGGGGCGGCTTTGGGAACCAGCCACGGGGTAGACCCAGCATGGGTGGTGGTAGAACAGGTAGTAGAACTAGCACTTTTGACCTAAAGTTATTGTCTCATTATGCTTTGGGTTTTTCTTTGTTTACAATAAACTTGTGTAATCATAGCAGATATTCATTTTCAAATGTTCCCTAGAGGCGAATAGTTATGATACTATAAAACTGAAAAGGTTTCCCAGAATCTTCAAAATGGTTCCCATCATGAAGACCTATCGAAGTTTAAGTGTCTTTTCACAAAGCATACTGTTCAAAGCTTTATGAAGATGTTTCCGCATCAAATAACAAATATTATAACAGAAGGTTTAGCGACTGTAGTTGCTTTGTAATCCGATCCTGTTTAGTCCCACAAATCTTATATAGATTATCAAGATTGATATTTGGCGTGTGAATGGACCATTTGATTTCCACTGACTATTAGCGTATTTTAATGACTATCTCATGTCCAAGTGCTTGTTGGATTGCCATAAGAAGTCGGATAAAAAGAATAAAAAACAAAGTATGCATTGCGAAATTAAAGACATTACTTAAATATTTGTTACGTGCAGTCTTACTGAAATACTGCCACAATAAGATATCTTGGATGTAATTTTAATACAAAAGAGTATTAGTTGACTAAATCAGAGTGATCTTTTCGGATCATCCACATTCGTTATGGATAAGATTTTATTTTGATAAAATCACAGTGTTATACAGTAATATTAACTGATGACGTTTTGAGCACAAACTATTGCTCGTAATCATATCAAGTTACTCACAACTTTTTCCCTTCATTTATATACATGTGTGGAATTGACTAGATATGTGAATAAAAATCAATATGGGATAACGTACATTCAGAAATAATAATATGAGTGTTATTGATAAATTACAATCAGATGGGAAATAAGACGAATCTTTTTATAGTCATAATAAGTAACTTGTTAGAATGTTGTGATGTGCTTGAATTGAAATAGAATTTTGAGATTATTTATTATCCTCTTCTGATTTGACAGGTGGTAATAATATCTTCCATATTTCTGATATTTGCATTGAGTCATTTCTGTTGCATGTGTTGGGTGTAGACTCAATGAACCAGGATTCAGTAATCAATCTCTCTCTCCACCTACATAGATTACTCCTTAGAATTTTAACCCTCTCGCATCCTATTGTGTGGTTGTATGTTATTGCATGTAGTGCGATTGCTGAGCTTTTTTCTAAATTACTCATCTTCTTGGGGTCAACCATTCTTACCTTAGCTAAATTCTTGTGTCCCGACAATCTGACTACCCCCGACCTACTAGATTGACCTATGTAGTTGACCTCACAGTCATTGCAGAGTATTTTGTAAATTATATTATTTTGTCTAATTGGGTCAACCGACAGGGACCCTTAACCTACAGGGCTTGTTGATATAAGTATAAAACTTGGGCACTGTGGTAGAGTATAATTCCATAATGGATAGGATTTTATTTTGATAAATCACACAGTGTAGTAGTTATATTAACTGATGACGTTTCGAGCACAAACTATTGCTCATAATCATATCAAGTTGATATGATTATGAGCAATCCTATCCATTATGGAACTACAGGGTTGTCCCTGAGTGAGTTTGTAGATTGAAATGCCACTCTAATTCCTGCCTTATTAAGAATCCTACGTAGGGTCTCAGATGTCCCCTCCTTATATGGTAAAACTGTAGATGCCTTATATATATCTTATATATGTTATCATTATTAGTTTCACCATTATTTTTATTTTGCTTTTGATATTTTCTGATCTTCCTAATGAATAATAATAAATAATCTCAAAATTCTATTTCAATTCAAGCACATCACAACATTCTAACAAGTTACTTATTATGACTATAAAAAGATTCGTCTTATTTCCCATCTGATTGTAATTTATCAATAACACTCATATTATTATTTCTGAATGTACGTTATCCCATATTGATTTTTATTCACATATCTAGTCAATTCCACACATGTATATAAATGAAGGGAAAAAGTTGTGAGTAACTTGATATGATTACGAGCAATAGTTTGTGCTCAAAACGTCATCAGTTAATATTACTGTATAACACTGTGTGATTTTATCAAAATAAAATCTTATCCATAATGGAGTTATACTCTAACACAGTGCCCAAGTTTTATACTTATATCATGTACGTTCATCTCTTGTAATATTTAATATCAACCTCTAATCCTTCTAACGATTTCAGATATTTGTGAAAGAAAAATCATCCTTATAAAAAATAGGGATCAATATAAATGAAGTTCAATAATTTAGCTAATTGATGATGTGGAAGTTTCATATGTACATTCCTAATAACACTATAAGTTCCTGTACTTGATTAGTGTTTTGTGGACTTCATTTTTTGTACCGTGTGAAAGTTAAGTAATTTGAACTGTTGCACATTTTGCATAGTTTATTCTAGTTCATGAGTAAGTATAAAAGTAAAAGCAAGCATTTGAGCAGAATAAAATATATTTCTATTTGTAAACAAAAGTATTTGAAAATTGCATTATGACTCGAATGAAATACTACAGGTTGTACATAGCTGAAGGGGGAACACGACATCAAATAGTCTCATGTTGTTCTGCTCCAGTGTGTGTTCTTTCCCTTTCTGAATTTATACAGAGTAATTGGTGTACGATTTATTTTTAAAAAGTCTCTCCTCTATTTTGCTGCAAGGAGAAGGTTTTGGTCGACCAGGTCGAGGTGGATTTGGAGGCCGCAGGGGATTCGGAAGTCAAAGACAAAGTTATCATCCGCCTGGACTTTCACGTGAACAACCACAAGAATCAAATCAAACAAATCCGCAGTTAAGATGTGGCGAAATAAGTGGTGATATTTCAAACGCAGAACGACCGCGACTAAATCTTAAACCTAGAACTGCTCCCGTAAACACAAATGATAATAGGCAGTTATCAGAACGCGCCCGCGCAATATTCGGTACTGGACGTCCCAGAGAAGCTAGTCCGCTCCGTGCACAAGGCAGTAGCAAAGGGTAATTGTACTCTGAGTTCGAGTTCCTTGGTTCGTAATTCATAATTGGGTCCTAATTGTCACTTTCACATGTTCATTTTGCATAGTTTCTATTATCACTTTTCGTTAGAAGACCAGGTTTAGGACAATTAAGCGTCTGTGTTGATAACTAATGCATCAAGATATTTGATTTCCGACAGTAAACATGAGAAACTGCATAGCAAGAAATGTATGGGCGTGCTGCGCTTGTTACTATTTAAAACGAACTTGGTATAAATGCACTACACAAATGACAACAAGCAAATGAAGTGGTTAATCAACAACAATGAGGAAAAGTGCACATACTTACTGAGAGTATTCAGAAGAGCATCGGTGCTTCACATTATTTTCAGAGAGATAGGAAGGAAGGAATCTCAGCGCGCTACCTATTGATTTCAGTTTTCAAACAAGTATGATAAGAACTCAAGCCGTTGAGTCTCGTGATCTCTTGAACACTCATTTTGGGATTAATGATGTACCGAACGTGACTATCCTTTATCATTTATCGGGAGATGATTCTAAGTATGTCCAAACTCATTGTCGGACCTTAGAATTGCATTTACAGTGATGTAACTCGGTGTAAGCAATCCGACTAGTTCAAATAGCTCCATGATCGTAGTATGTGCTCGTTCAGTATCTGGGTATTTCTCTAGGAAGCTTATCTACACCACACACATCCTTTGGAGCTGTATTCAGCATGTTGGTGGTGGTAGTGGTTAGGTTGGAGAGATATACCATGATCGGTTATTTATGTGTGCCCACTCTTGAATGGGAGGGGACACCAGACAGCACCGTAATGATAGCTGCAGAATACTGCAGACGGTCCCTGCTGGGAGAGAGGGAATAAAATTTGGGCCGAATTGGAAATTAATCCTTTGTTGTGTTGTTTGAAAGTATTATATCAGCGTTTAAGTATACAGGTGTTTTTACACTGAAATGGTTGTCTGAATTTCATTTTGCATATACATCATAAACTAGTAAACATTTAAATAGGTAAAACTTAGCAAGTCTCTAAAACGCACCTACGTCAACCGCTCAGTGAGTTTCTTTACTTTTGTGTGATTTTCTGCCTGAAAAATTGAACTATCGTGCAAAGTTCTACGTCGATAAGTCAGTTTCAGTTGTACAAGTCGATTTTCGTATTACTAATTTTCCTTTTGTTTAATGTATTTATGTATAGACCTGACTCAGAAGAAAATGTCACCAGTTCTGGTTAACGCGAGAAAGTCAGTTTGGCCAATGTGGGAACCGTTTACACCGAGATCTAACTCTTTTGTGTTACTTGTTAATTCATTCCCTCTCCTCCCCCACCACCCCGAACATTTCGGTACCAATGGTACTGTTTTTATAAAAGGCATCTGCAACTTTTCATTATACTTTATCCATATATATTTTTCTTTTTCACCAGTAACAATGTGTATGTGTACAGGTTGGTCAATTTTCATCTGCATTCGTTTTGATTTCAAAGTATACTGCTTCTTTTTCTGTTTTGGTCTGCTATGTCACTGTCGTTATTGTACTGTTTATGGGACCTCTTCATATTTCTCATCCTTAATTTTATCATCACTAAGCATAGTTTTCTTTTGTACATGGTTGTTTCTCTTTCTAGACAACAAAGATATACTTCTTATTCAGTCTTCCATTTTTCCCGGTATATATATACGCGTAGGTATTTGTAAAAATAGTATTTCTGCTTTCAAAAGTTAGTAAAAATAAAATGTAATGTAATAATCTCTATTTTATTACACAAATATGAGGAATTATATGACTTATGCTCTACTCCATTTCACTACAACACCCTTAAAATACCCGGTTTTTTTATAGATTATTCGGTGTAAATGGGTAGACGTTTCATCTGTGACTATTGTGATAAGTCATTTCCAGACAGTTCATTTAATCGAAGAAACCATCTTAAAGGTGTTCAGCATCAGCAGGCACGAAAAGTACACTATGATAAATTTCTCGGTATTGTGGAAATTATTTTCATATACTGAGGTATGATTTTATCTTTTAGATCCCAAAGAAAGGCTGGATATAGAAAAAGGCAAAAAACCATGTATTTCTTTCCGTAATTCAGGTGCGTCTGTTGTTAACTAAACTTTACAATGTATGTATTCATGTTCAGGTTCTTGCAGTTACGGTGCTTTGTGCAGGTATTCTCATCTCACTGTAGAAGAAATACAGATTTTGGAGAAAAAAGCTAGTGAGATCACATTTGTTAACTAATTAATCCAGACGATCAGTTTATTGCTTCATCTTACACCAGCCATCTAAGTTCAGAAGGTAATATTGATAATCAAATACGATTACTGGAAGCGAAAATACTAACTAGGCGTAGTCACCTCTGGGCTTCTGAGAAGACAGAAATGTTCCGTATTCCCGAAGGTATACAAATGGTCAGTTTGCCACCGTCACTGTTATTCAAACCAAATAATCAGTACAAGTGATTTAATCTCCTCCAAAATTCAATAGTCACAATATCGTGTCAATGCATCGAAATGTTCTGACGTTTGTGACCTATTCAAGGGAAATAATGTCTTTGAAATTCTTGACCACAAATATAATTTGTTATCTGCTGATTTGTGAATAAATTAACATATTTTGTAAAAGTTCTGACCTAATATCGCACACTGCATGTTATTTGTTTTAAAACAGTTCATATTGCTAAATAATGCAATTAGACATTGAGTATGAAAAAAGATTTTCGATTTCTTAGGAACAATAATGTATTGGATGAATTCGTTGATCATTATATCATGCGTGCAAATTCATGGATAATTCTGGGCAGGACGTGAATTTCTGCATGCTTGTTGACTTCCATCTGGTTTCATTGGAATCGTGAGTTCACGCTGAAAACAATTTAATCTACCGTGTTGGCAGCAATATTATAATTAATTGAATGATGATTTTTAGCCATTTACTACCACTAACACATTCGTGTAACAAACTGGTTTTGGCGCAAGCTGTAGTAATAGTGGCTTTCTTTGGCTTATTAGCAATCAGTCAGCTGTTGTTTAGAATTCTACTGAAGTCGAGGTTCTCATTTAACAACTGGAAACTAGTTCAAATAGCTATATATATATATATATATATATATATATATATATATATATATATATATATATATATATATATGTATACATATATATATATATATATATATATATACATATATATATATATATATATATATATAGCAAAAGATGATTACGTACATATTAATAAGTCCGTTGATAAAAAAACTATTTGAGTTGATTCGTATTCAGTGCTTGAAAAGCAGGTCATCATGATAATATTTAATTTGACATAATTCAGTCCAATAATATAGGATATTTTATCAGCTTGAAGTTATGTATGGAATATACTATTTAGATGCATTAGTGGTTCTATGCCACTTATATCAATTAACAGTAAAATACTAACCAGCTTATATTAACTTAATAGTTAACACAACCATTTATGTATATCCAACCAAAATAGCATTTATCAATAGTCTTCCTGTTCATATTCACTCAACAAATTTATATATAAAAGGAATGAAGACAGAAAAGTGATTTTATAAGCTTCACACATAAAAAACAACACTGAAATAGAATTAAATATAAAAACAATTCTTGAGACTCAAGCTCATAATAGCTGCATATACTGTAGGTAAACAAGAAGTCAACTCCACCACCATTTAGAATAAATTGAATAAGGAAAATGAAATAGGAAATACTTCCACTCAGCGACTTCATTTGCGAGGTGTACAGTCGATTTATATTACGTAAAAATGTCAACAGGTGGAGCTAGAATTGTTCAGTTGATAAATATATGACAGAAATTCTCAACATGATGTTTAAGGGCGTGTGGTAGAGTTGAAGCGGATGAATTACAAAACTATTAAGAAAGAATTGCTGTTAAGAGGCTTAAATTGGGTTAAATGTTATTAAAGTAATATAGTGTTATATTGATGGTAACAGTAGTGGAAGTGGAGATAAAGTTAGGAAGGATGGGATCAATCGGGAAGGACATTACTATGACTAGGGCGAAGGACTTCAACAAAACGTTTTTGAATGCATAGGTAAGGTTACTGTTCATGCATTATCTATACATACGAAACGAAAAAGTGAACTTTTGGATAAAGCAAGTATGACAAATGTTCCAGGATAATCTGAGCTCTTGCTTCTATTATTTCGTAGATTCTCCTCAACTGGTTACAACCTGAACAATACCAAAATTATAAATTTAATTAAAGATCTGAGCTTACCTTTTTACAATGATAAGGAGTAATTGATTGGAACTAAGAGTAACACTGGTCAGTAATGATGTATGTTGTTGTTGAACTTCTTCAACAAGAAGATTTTTCTTCGCTGCAACTGTCTTTTTAAATAATTTTATTTTCAGTGTAGATTTCGTCACGAATTAAAAGCATTTAGAGAATTATCAACAGTGGAAGGACAGCTGTTTTGTCCTGGCCTTTTATTCTTCATAAATGCACACCAATGATTTGAACCTAGAACCTTCTGGTTACAAGGGTGGCCTGTTAACCATTCAACCATTAGGTAAGGATTTAATGACCCATGAATTCTAAGTTGGTGAAATACTGCCAGCGCCAACCAAAACTGTTGATAAGTATATGCTTCACTTTGACATAGTGGATCCCACTAGCCACGACTTTTCAATAAAACTTCAGGATATCCACTAATGAGCTGTAGGGTTGATATTCAAATTGGTCACTGAATTCCAACCCATTGGCTGAATGGTGAACGAACTGGCCTCGTAACCTAATGGCCCACATTTCAATCTCTGGGTGGAGTGTGCTACGAACAAGATTTGTAAGTAGTATGCAGATGCAGATATAAATATGTACATCATTTTCAGGAATGTCAAATAGTGGAGAGATGGATCTAATGAACGATGTTTGTGAAACATGAATTGAAGACAAAGTAGCACAATACCGAAGATAAGTGCGAATTGCAATTCTAAAATATTGTAAACGTATTTTGCCTGCATCTGTGTATTGAGGTGCCAGTAAATAATTCGTTACCGAATTCTCTTGGGTTCTGCCGATACACCAGGTGGGTCATGGGTGCGGACCGCTGAAAAGTTTCGAACTAGGAGGGAACGAGTGTCCATCGCCCCTTGGCTATCAATGATTCTCTAACTGTTGTTTCATGAAGAAATAATCCAATTACGTACAAAACCTAAAATCTGAAACTATTTATTGTGTAAAAACATACATCTGAACTAAGGAGAAACATTAAATTGACTGAAAAGACTTATTTGACTGGGGAAAGTTAAACGATAGCAGTCCATGGAATGCGAAAGCACGAACGATCCTTGGTTGACCAATCAGAAAAACTAGTGGTTTCTTTTTACTTAAAAATGATGTATATTTACAAGAGAAATACAAAGAAAAACACATTAAACAAGATATTTTTCCCTGACTTGATCCTAGAATATCTCCCAATGGGGAGTGTCAGTTTTTAAGTTAAACCAGTTCCTATACACCTATTATTAATATTATTGTTCCCTTGGGTTCCTAGTGGAACATAGGGCTTCAACTGCACGTCTCCACTTGCTTCTGTCTTGTGCTGTACTTTTCACTTGCATCCATGTTAATCCATACTGTTTCAGTTCCTCTTCACACGATCTCCTCCATGTCACTTTTGGACGTCCCACTCGTCGCTTCCCTTTCGGGTTCCACTCGAGGGCCTGACGCGCCATGTCACCCAACGGCCTCCTCAGCGAGTGTCCAATCCATCTCCACTTTCTCCTGCATATTTGTTGAGCGATTGGTTCCTGTTTTGTTTGTTCCCATAGCTTCTTGTTTGTGATTCTTTCCGGCCATCTAATCTTCAGTATAGAACGAAGACAGCTGTTGATAAAGGTGTGCAACAGGCTGTTGGAAATATTCTTTGTGACCCGCCAAGTTTCTGATCCGTATAGAAGAACTGACTGACTTGATGTTTGTATTGAAAATCCGAATTTTGTTGTTGATGCAGGCTGAGTGACGAAGATTTCCAGATTGGTTTTAAGTTGATGAATGTGTTTCTCGCCTTCCCGATTCTCGATTTGACATCCTCGTCCGTTCCTCCTGTAGTTGAGCCAATGCTGCCTAGATAAGTGAATGAAGTAACCTCTTTCAGATCCATCCCGTTGATGGTGATTGCCGCTGGATGTTGCTGCTGTTGTTGTTGTTGGTTGTTTATTTTCATAACCTCCGTCTTGTATATGTTCACCTGGAGTCCTGTCTTTGCTGCTTCTTCGACCAGTTTGTCGGTTTTCGCTTGTAAGTCTTCGATTTTGTGTGCCAGGTCTTCTAGGTTCTTCACGTCGGTCCAGGATATCCCTGTCTTCTCGTTTCCCACTGTCTGACGCATAATCCAGTCCACCACAATTAGGAATATCATTGGTGATAATAAGCATCCTTGTCTGACTCCTGTGTTTACTCCAAACGCTTAGCTGAGTTTTCCGTTGTGGATCACTTGACATGTGCTGTTGTCGTACAGCTGTTGAATAAGGTTGATGAATATTTCGGGTACGCCGTAGTACTCGAGTAGTTTCCAAATTACTTCGCGGTCAACGCTGTCGAAGGCCTTCTCAAAGTCTATGAAGTTGAGGTAGAGGTTTGATTGCCATTCCATGCTTTGTTCGATGATGATGCGTAGAGTTGCAGTTTGGTCAGAACATGATTTGCCTTTCCTGAATCCAGCTTGTTCTGGTCGGAGTTGTGTATCCAGTGCGTCCTTTATTCTCTCCAGGATGATGCGACTCAGAATTTTACTTGGCGTCGACGGGAGCATGATTCCTCGCCAGTTCTTGCAGAGTCCTAAGTCGCCCTTCTTTGGTAGTTTCACGAAGTATCCTTTCTTCCAGTCAGTAGGCACCTTTCCCTCTTTCCAGATCTTTTGCAATAATGGAGTCAGCATATCTGCTGTCGTCTGCGGGTCCGCTTTCAGTGCTTCAGGGGGTATTCCATCTGGTCCAGCTGCTTTTCCAGCTTTCAGAAGCTTGATTGCATTCAGGACTTCAGCTTTCGTTGGAGGATCGGTGTCAACTTGCAGTTGTGTACGCGCTGTTGTTGGTATTTTTGGACGGGTTGTAGGTGGTGGTCGGTTCAAGATTCCTTTGAAGTGGTCCGCCCATTGTTTAATCTGTCTTTCTTCTTTGGTTATTGGGTTCCCTTGGCTGTCTTTTATAGGTTTCACTTGTGTTGATCTTTTCCCGGATAGAGACTTGGTTATCTGATATAGTGTCCTCAGGTCCCTTTTCCATGCTGCCTTCTCAGCTTCACTAGCCAGGTTGTCGTAGAACTGTCTTTCGTCCGTCCTGGCACTCTTCTTCACTTCTTTGTCCAGTGCTGTGTAATTTAAGCTCAGCGTCTCTTTCTCTTGTCCATCTTTGCATTGAATCATTTTTTCTTTCACCATTCTCCTCTCCTCTATTAGCTTCCAAGTGTCTGTTGAGAGCCATTCCTTGTCTTGTTTCTTCTTTCTTCCTAAAACCGTTGAACACGTTTCGTTGAAAATTACCTTCAGAGAGTTCTAATGGTCTTCCACGGATGATTCCTCAGTGGTGCCAGGTAGTGTTTCTTGCTTTGCTCTGACAGTTGCAGTGAAAATGTCTCTTGTGGTTGTGTCCTTCAGTTTTTGCGTGTTGAACTTGCATTGTGGCCTATTTCCAGGTATCCTCGAGGCTTTTAGCTTCACCTTGAATGTCCCTTGTACTAGATAGTGGTCTGAACCCACATCTGCTCCTCTCCTCGACCTTGTGTCCAGTAGGCTCCGTCTCCACTTCCTTGAGATTGAAATGAAGTCTATCTGGTTTTTGGTGTGTCCATCTGGTGAAATCCATGTTGCCTTGAGTATATCCCTGTGTTTGAACACACTGCCACCAATCACCAAATCATTGAAGGCGCAGAAGTCTGAGAAGAGTTCACCATTTTCGTTCATTTCACCGAGGGCCTCACGACTCGTGGTGAGTTCTCTTCCTGTATTGTCTCCTCCCAGTTTCGCATTCATGTCACCCATCAGGATTTTGATATCGCTCTTTGGCACGTTGTCCATTACTGTTTGTAGTTGACTGTAGAAATCCTCCTTCTTCTCTTGTTCTGAGACGTTTGTAGGCGCGTAGCATTGGATGATTGTAACCTTTTTTCCTTTTGATTTGAACCTGGCTGTCATTATCCTGGAGGAGATTGGTTCCCACTGCATGAGAGCTTTAGCCGCTATTGGTGACATCATGATGGCTACTCCCTCGGTGTGCTCATGATCGTCCTCTGGGTGACCGGAGAAGATTATTGTCTCTCCAGTTGGTAGTTGGCACCTTCCGCATCCGTTCCATCTGCTCTCGCAGATTCCCAACACTTCCATTTTATATCTCTTCATTTCTGCGGCTATCTGAGCAGCCTTTCCAGTTTCGTACATTGTACGAATATTCCACGTCCCCATCCTTATTTTTGCTTTCATCGAAAGAAGGCACATCGGCTGACTGGCTTCCCGAAGGCTTTCACCAGCCTGCGTCATTTTACTTCTCCGATTCCAGCGAAAAATAAGGTTATTGTTTGTATTTTTAGAATTTTCAATATATTTGTGCGTTGAAGTTTTTGTAGCAATTTGGTTAAGTTTTGAGGGTGGAGTTGCTAGCACCACGCCCCAACCCTCCCTCTTTATCCGGGCTTGGGACCGGCTAGAATACTAGTGATCTAGTAATCTAGGCGAGGTTCCTATACACGTACTCATCAAATACTTTTTGTGATCCGTTTGTCGCTCTTATCCTGTTTTTCAGTCTTCCCCAGAAGCCCTCGATTGAACTAGTGTGGGCTACAGTAAGGGGGTTGACAAAATCACCAGAATGATTTACTCGGTAACAAATGCGACCCAAATCTGGTAGGTGATTGTATCCTGCCCCTTCGTCTGTATAAATAGGATTGGCTAACCCTTGTTTAATAGGTAGAAGAGTGTCGGCACTGCGATTGGGATTTACCTCCACAATTCTCTTCTGAAGCTTTGTATCGTAAATTCCCAAAACCCAAACATTATTAACCCTAGGAAGACTAAGGTTATATTTCTTCTTTATCAAAACGGTTTCATCGATGTGAAGAATAATACTAACTCCTCCCAACAGCCGCATGATTGTATTCATCTTCCAGGACGCTATATCTCTGCCACGGTAGGACCATTGTATGGTAGATACTAATGAATTTTATGTCTGTACAGCCGTTGATCTCACCCCAGTCTTTAATATCCAATAATGGCAGGTAAAGAGTATATTCGTCAGCTGCAGTATCGATTTAGAAAAGAATGCAGTGAGTGCGTAAATTATCATTACAAATACTAATTCGTTTCCTACACTGTGTACACCTGAATACATGTCCACCACCTGCTTCTAAAAACTACCGGGTGTACACAGTAGCACCACAAGGACATTCACGGTTACGCGGCATTAACCCATTATCTGAACAGTAGTTAAAAACAAATCCTGGTGAAATTTGCACCTCAACTAGTAAATAGCATCCATAATATCGTTGTAACAGTGGTAAGTCCAATTATCCAACGAGTAGTAGACGTTCCAAGTCACTGGTGAGTTCGCATTCCTGTACTGTGATACTTTAACTTGGCTTTTGACTGTTTGCCTAAGTTGGTTATTTTATAATAATACCGGGACAAAAAGTTATGAAGCATTTTTTATAAGTCCTTTAGATTTATCACTCAGGACACTATTGTTTCAAATCAGTTCACAGTTTTTTCCCCACCAAGACTCCTATCCTCAGGAATACTTTCTGAAATGTGTTTACTTTATGAATTAATTGCTCAGGTTATATTATTATGGCAAAGTTTTCAAAGTGAATTAATAAAAAAATAATTTCAAAAGGTCATTCAGTTTCAATCGGAGTGATCAAATTTCCTTTAAATACGGTTTACCAATCATATGATAGTATTACTCATCTAAATTGTATATAAAGATGGAGTTTGTTTTTGCGGTAGTATATTGAAAATTAGTTTTAAAATAAAAAAGGCACACAAACATTTAATTTTACGGAAAAGAGAAAAAGTGTAAGTATTTATGTTATCTATTTTTAATTGTTATCTGAAATCAAGTCTTCTTAATTCGTGGATTATTCATCATAATACATTATATCTTCCCTCGAGGTTTATTAAAGGAGGATGTTTTATTATTGATTGTCACTTTTAGTAAATAGCATATTCATATTTTTGCCTTAATTGTTGTCTCTTATAGTGCGTCGGTGGCACAGCGGTTAGGACTCTCGCCGACCATGCACATGGTCCGAGGTTCGATTCCCCGCCGACGCACACCTGATATCTATGGTCGGCCTGCTAAATTTGGGCTACCGATATCACACGCTGAAAATTTCATACTTGTACCAAAATACTGTGTGGAATCAAGCTATAATAAAATTTTAAAAAAAATAATACCTAGTCATAATTTTATTCAAGTACTGAGGTGTTTCTTAATTGAATGCACAATGTTCACAAAATCGAAGGGATTACAACACATGTATGCGTACTATCTTTTATCGACTGACTCGAATACACATTCCCATATATTTTCATGAACGCTAAATGCTTATGATCTCCTTAGTTTGTCATCTAAAATATCCAGTTACTAAATATAACAATGAAATGTATTCACTGACAAAGCAGTCTTTATATTTAGACATAAGTCGATTTCTGTGAAGCATCTAAGAAAATTGTAATTGAGGATGACTAATTTAGTGAACATCTATTTAAATTGTAATGAATAAGTTCTAAACACTGTCACAACCCACATGAACACTTTGAGACGGTTAGTACTTACGAATTTTTGTAATAAGCGATTGAAGAAATGTGACCAAATCGCTGGTCATGATCATTAGGAAGTGGGACATGTGAAATATAAAGTCTTTATGTTTATTTGAAGAAGCGACAGTTCGAAATGATACATCACTACTACTTAAAGACTGTCTTTTTACAATTGCTTTTTTCGCTGATCTATAATGTATTTCTTTTTGATTTAGTAATAATAGTTACAAGTCAATGAAATAATTTTAGCTACCTATTTTGATATTTTTTTATGTATATCTTCCTGCAATATTTCTGCAAACCGTTAACCTCTCAGTGACAAATTTCTTCTTCCACCTTTCTTTTATAAATTTTCTGTACTATAGAGATTTACTACAAAAATAACGGATATAGCAAGTACATTAGCATTCTCACTTGCTAAATGTAACTGGTATTCATGTTATGAGATAAATTATGAGACTTAGTATTCTAATAATTTATTCAGAAGAGTGATGATCACAGGGAACGATTGTTTTCAGTTACTTCTTATTTAGACTGCTCATTTATAAATCCACAAATAAAAAAGCAATATCATAAACACTGAAGTACTAACATTAAATGATTCCAGCTTTAAAACAGTCAGAGCTGCATGGAAATAAAAATCAAGTGAATAGGATGAAGTTCTACCTGAAGACACTTCCATAGGCAGTTTAAAATGTGAACACAACAGTCACATGATAATATGAGAAAATCTACAAATGAAAATTCATATTCTGCTTTCTAATTGAATTAGGAGTCATGCTGAAACACTGAGAATTATAGTGATTTTGTATTACTACTATGACTAGAATTTAGACAGTATCCTGAACTATCAAATCCAGCTATAGTATCAATAAAAGTAAATTAGTCATATTTACATAAACGGAAAGGACCAATAGATTTAGGTGCACCTGTCGTTTAAGTATCGGCATTATGAATATTACCCTCTGTGTATTCATTTCTGAGGCTTTTGTTAATTTTACCATGTATCAACTACTATGAAAAGTCAAAATATATTAATTTCATTCTTTTGTCTTTGTCCTGGTGAATAGTTTATTGCAACGTATTTTTATTACTTTTAGAAAATGAATGAACCTTATATATATATATATATATATATATATATATATATATAAACAGGTTTGTTCAAACAGGATTTATTTAGGTCTTCAGTGGATCATTGATATTCTCAGGTTACTTGGTACATCATGTTAGTCAAATGCTTTGCTTTGTCTCAGAATTACTGAGTGTATCTCTGTATTTGTTAATGTGATTGCTTCAGTCCGTAGTTAATACACATTTATTCGGTTACTCAATATGACAGTTAATTTGAAATATTCATTATGATTACACTTATCCAACTTCCCCCAAATTACTTTATAGAACTAATTTATGAGTTGAATTTAGTGGTTTTGTTAATAAATTTATTTGGTTTCTTAAAAATATGCAAATTTCAAAATACTTCGATATGATTTTTCGAGTTTTACCACGGACTGATATCAGGTAGAGAACCACTGAAAACTAGGGAGTACTGGACGGCTGTTTCACCCTAGTTTGGGAATTGGTTCTCTCTATCACAATCCGTGGTCAAACTCGAAAAACACATCTAATCCTTACACAACAACTCTTGAAAACTTTGATTAACTAGTGTAATATATCTTATTGTTTGTTTGGTGGAGACTGAATTCTGTCAGTCAAGTTTGTAATGTGGCCACCATTCTAAGTTGCTTGCCATCACGGTGAACTGTGAATTGTTGATATTAGTTGGTTGGATTCACTTGGCAGATACACTAGTGTCCAACCAAAGTGTTATATCTGCGCCGATAATCATCATAACGGTAATGAACTCGACTGATACGCCTGTTTGTCCGTTGTACCTTCTGCTTCACTGAGCCACGCAAATATCAAAAGACAAAGGCTGGCCTGTGACGGTAAGATACTGTATATTTATTAGGAAAAAAACATATTTATACATTTTCTTTATCAAAATAAATTCGTCTCAGCCATGAGAAATGATTGACCACACAGTAAATCACAATATGCGTGAGAAAGGATGATATACTATTTTATGCTGGTTCCTATCACGAAGTGTCCAATACTGTCCTACAGGAATTCAATCGCCACCTCGAATAGCTCACTGGTAACGTCTCTGACTCCAGCACTAGGTGACGCAGGTTTGAATCCCAGAAGGGACATGAGTTCCTTCAGGGTTGCAGATACACCTTGCTGATGAATGCCAACTAGCACAAAACCTAGGTTTAAGGCTTCCTGCCGATTGCCTCCGAACATCTAATATCAAATTTCAAAGTGTATGATGAATTTTTAGTCGCCTGACATTTGTTAGTATTATCAAAGTTAAGGGTTACAAAATTGAATTCACATATTCAAACGATACATCTGCATTGCTGTCAGCGAACAAACTTTTTCTCCTGATACGGCCTTTACAGAATCAAAATTTTACTTAACAGAAAATGTTTTTCCTCTGCCAACGTAAAGTCAAATGACAAGTTACTTTAAGTTAGATGTGCAATGACTGGTAAAGGAGATATTTTAGTCAATGAAGTTTGGGATCTGGAAAGACTCAGAATTTCACAGCCTAATTTAGTCACTATTGTTATACTAATTTTTACAAAAATATATATTTACATTGACTAGACTGATTAATTAAGCAGCCAGTTTCCATGCATACAGTTATAATTAAGATTTCACACAAACTGGTGTTGCAGTTGTTAGCCATCAGTTAAATTAATTATCAAATGTTGGTAGATAGTTTATGAGAACTATGGTTCATTACTAAAAGCATTCAATTTCCATCAGTTGACACACTATGATGATATTATCAGCCCTCACGTAATAATAGGATCCTCAAAGGTGCGTTTGACCTCTAAATAGTTTCAATCAGTAACTAAACGGAATTTTCAAATCCCTTATCTTTATTTAATGTAAAAGATGTCTACTTCGTCGTCAAGTCTGTTCATTCTTTGACATTTTATTTCTAAGTTCGTGGACATTTATAGAGATATAGATAACATTAAAAAGAATGAGTTCTTCAGTTGATTTCAAGGCAAGCAGGAAAATTCACTGTCGTACGGAGTCACCATAATTCGTAGAAAGCTTTCTATCTATAGAGTTTTATGTACTCGAAACCGAGACTGGATACTTTGGTAATAAGATAGATTTTCTGAATATTGTATACAAGTACAGAAAATTTAGCTAGAGAGACGAAAAACGTCAACTTAATTTTTATCACGGGACGTATAGTATATGTAATAGGTATGTGTCCAACACTGAAACATTACGATTTGTTTAAATACAGGTTATTACTAAGCTTTAGACTAAGAAAGATCGAAAGAGTTAAAAAAAAAAGAAGAAAAATATCAATTTAATCTACCTTCTTAACATATTACAATGAGAAATACAAGGTGTATAGAGCTGTCCAGTGCTGTTTAATCATTTTACTTGATCGACACGACACATTGAGAATCCAATATTTACGTTCTGTGTCATTCAATATCCATACATAACGGTTTGTTTTCCTATTTCATTTGGACGTCGATATTAAAAAGTCTCATCTAACCCTTAGTTCAGACATCTACTTCTACCTTATTAGGCTTTTATTGTGTTGTACATATTTATACATTAAGGTGATAGCAATAATACCTTCAAAAAATTGAACATATTACCAAAAAAACAAGTCTCAACTCAACACAACTTATCGCAGTTGGTTGAATTCACTGAGCAAATAACATTGAAGTGAATTTCTGCATAATACGCATTCGATTTCTTTGAAATATGATCAGATTTAAAGGTCAGGGTGTAGGACCTGTCATTACTACTGATATTTCTGTCAACGAATAGTAAAATAACAACTTAATAGTTTGGCAACACAAAAATAGCAACTCATGGGAATTCTCTTTTCTTAGGTCATAAATTGACAGAAAATGAAGTTTAACATGCGCCCTACATATCTCATTTCCCTTAAATCCCATACCAAAACTTTATGTTGCCAGGAATGAAACTTTGATACTGTAGCTATCTTGTTTTTTAGCTAGATTTCAGTTTCTTATAGCTTTAATTTTATTTCAATATTCGCTGTTTGCGCAAAGTAAGGGAACTATTCCTTCATTATGATAATTTAATAAATATAAAAGTCAGTTACTATTTTTAAATATAAGGAAGCGTCCTCAAAACTGTATTATAGCAACAACTAGGTGTTTCTGTTTAAGAGAAAATAAAGAATTGTGGGACCGAGTAGTTTTGAAAATGCTTGAAGAGGTGTTGAATAGTTGTTGAGCTGCTGATTTTGCCCATTTGATCTTTTCGATAAAGTTAATTTCATCTTACGCTGAAGTCGGCTATTATTAACTATGAGATAATAGACTGTTAGTTTTATGTGAAATTCATTTATCACAGTCTTACGACGAGTTCAATTTATGCATCTTGAACTGTCTCTAATAATCTCATTCTGAATCAGCTGTGGTGACTAAGCCTTCACATTATACCCAAATAAATATTAAACTGTGTGTAGCTTATTATAAATTATTTAAAATAATCCCAGCGTGTTTAAGAAAAGAAGTCAAAACAAGATTATTCTGGACGTTTTGCTGTGTAAGCCACAGCTTCTTCATCAGAATTATTCCGATTTTATTAACTATCATAATATATCGTCAAAAATTATATATATTGGAGTGGGCCCTTTGAAGGTCACTTGTCGGTAGACATTTGTACCAATAAAAAAAAATGTAAACAGTCATCACATATCTGTAATGACTATTGTCAAATGTGCATATTTGCCTGTATAAGTGTTGAGTAAGGAACACGTTGAAACATGATAATATTTCATAGTGGTCATAATATAGGATTTAATATTTTTTCACACCTGTTTTTCTGCATCAGAGTCTGCCATATAGGTGATAAGTCTATCCCTTCTCTCCTATTTACTGCATTCGATGTGATTAAAATATGCAAGGCTTCAGAGGTCAGCCTTTCTTTATGTGAATGAAAGCCCCTCCGTAAAATTTCGACATTGGCCAAATCGATCCTATGTCCTCTGTCTATAGCATGCATTGCTGAAGCTGATCTTTTTTCTCAACTTTTACTTCTACTTCACTTCTAAGTGAACGTTTCGTGCACAGCCTATGTTCATTCCCTCTGACCTTCACCTGTCTACTGCTTCCCCCTACATAGCAAGCCTCACATTCTCAACACTTTTACCTATAGACACAGTTGTTTTCTGTCATTATCGGAACCATATCTTTGACATGCACCAAAGCTTTCTCTAAAGAATCAGAACGCTTGAAATAGACGTTAGTATCATATGAAGCAAGTACTCTTTGATGCTGTTCAGCTGTGTCCTTGTGATATGGAGTGGCTATAGTCGATACCCAAGATCTTTCAATTTTATGTTTTCCCTTCCGGTCCTTTTTATGAATAATATTATTTAGCAGCTTTTCGGGTAACCATTTCCAATCACAATCTGTTTTATGTTGGATATCTCGTTCTCCACATCATCATTATCTGTCATAATGTTTCTAGCTCTGTTAACGAGATCTAAAGCTACTGAAACTTTCATTTTTATCGGATGATCTGATCGGGAATTCAAATACTTGTTTGGATGTATCGGTTTCCTGTATATTGTTAACTTAAGCTTCTCGTCAGTTTGTCTTTTTACAAGACAATCCAGTAAGTTTAGAATTCCCTAGTAGGATTCTATTTCAATGGTAAATTTACGTATTTTGAGATTAAGTTAATCTATGTTAGAAAGTTTTCTCTTTCAGCTTTCTTAATAACGATAGATGTATCATCTACATATCTGTACCATATTCTAGGATGACAACTAAAACTTGTCAGTGCTTTCCTTTCTAGAGCTTTCATATAAAGATTTGCTACAATTGGAGATGCTGGTGATCCCATTGTGACTCCATTTGTCTAACAGCATGGTTTGTCTTTAAAAGTAAAATAGACAGATTCTAAACAAAGTTTTTAAGCATCTTATAAAGTCTTCTATTGATTATGAACATTTAGCTAATATTTCCTAATTGTTTTCAAATTCATTTTTCATTATATCAAGTGAATCACATATAGGAATACTAGTAAATAGATAAACCACATTAAAACTCGTCATAATTTCGTCTTCTTCAATAGTTATATGCATTAATTTTCTTTTGAACTTCTCAATACTTTTAATGTTTGAAGTGGCTTCAGTATTCTTGATGTGTTTTGATCAAGTGTATGTTACTGCATTGGTGAAATCAATTATTGGTCTTAAAGGAACATCTATTTTGTGGATTTTCGGACTTTATTAAAATCTCGCGGCCGAGTTTCTTTTGGGAGCTACTGTAAACCAAACTGAATTCCCTAGCTTTGGTTTCAGTTCTCTAAGTAGATTACATACTTCTGCTTTTACTTTGCTCATAGTACTAGACATTTTGTTTATTGGTACTAGGACGTATGGATCTGCTTCGATATGTTCCATAGCTTTCTTGTCATAATCATCTCTATTGAGAATCACAGTGACATTGCCTTTGTCAGCTTTAGTTATGACAATAGATTTGTCTGATCTTAATGTTTGTAATGTATGACGTCCATTCCTAGAAAAATTTGTGGTTATTTGCTTTTGATTCGATAGGATACATCCAACCTTCTGACTCAATTCATTAGCTTCTTCATCAGGTAAAAGGGTTAAAACGGGTTCAGTGATAGGAGCTGTTCTTATCTCTTTCAGTGGTTTTCTAGTTATGTTCAAGTTTAGTCCCTCCTTAAGTAATACCACCTCATGTACACTGAGTTCTCTATCTGAAAAGTTGCATACTGTTCTTGTTAGTCTTTAAATTTGACTCAATTGCTCTGGAGTATGCTGTGTTCGGATTCACAAGTTTTTCAAATTTCTGAACTTGTGTTTATTCAGTAGCACTGAAATGAGCGGACTTTTAATCTTCAAATAATTCCGTAATGGTAGTTAGATGATCTTATGATACAAGAATATTAAGACAATCTACGTATAGCTTATTTTCATGTGATTAACGTTTAGATTGCTATCGTCACTTAACTCGAATTCATTAAATAAGAACTAATTTTAGATTTGTATACACTCGTCTTCGTATCTTACCTGATAATGATGAAGTGAAATGTAGTCAAGTTTAGGACTTAGGGCTGTCAATGTTAGTGACACTGCAAACTTCTATAGTTCAGTATGAATGGCTTAATAGAAGTTGAATATTTTCAGCACGGCTTCACGTCAAAAAGAGATACAAAATAGAAAACCTTAGTGACCCAAGAAGCCCTAGGTGGGTTTTTTAAATCTTAATTACCAACTCTTCGGAAATGTGAAAACTGGTCCTTATTGAAAGATTTATAAGACTATTTTGACGTCCTGGAAGTACAGCATACAAAATCCACTTGCTCACATATCTTACACTTATTCAAAATATTTTTCTGTTTTATCAACTAATCTCACTCTTTTTGTTACAAATACTATTAACACCTCGTTTAATGAATTTCTTCTGTATTATTGAACAGTGTAAAATCAGTAAAATGGCAAATATTTCAACCTCTTTAAATGAAACTAGATAATTTTATTTCAATTGTTATATTGATAATTGAGAAACTTTTGATTCACTTGTATAATTTTTACTATAGACTGATTTTTGAAACATTTTATGGACGAACCTTACCAAATTGTTCATTAATTTTAGATGAGGATATATATACATCTTGTAACAATTCAACTATATGTTGCGTATCACATATTCTGTATTGCCTCAGTGCGTGTACAAGCTAAAAGTCGGTGTATAGCGACTATAAACAATGATGGTTCACCACCATTCATATGTGATAATGAGAAACTAATTGTGGAACCACAGCAACTACTTTACGATGATGAACAAAATGAAGTAATTTTCGAGATGGCTAATGAAAATGATCTATTTCAACAGCGGTCATCAGCACCATTTTTAGACAATAATAGAGCTTTTGTTCAACTGGGAAAAAAAGGATTTGTTCGTATTGGCAAACGTGGATTTGTACGGATTGGACGTTAATCTACGTCACAGAATAAAACAATGCTTTCAATTTAGAAAATAATGGTCTTATTAATTATTTAATTAAATTAAGATATACAGTACCGATATTGGTCTCACACCTTTGTTGTAATCTCCAGGCTGCCGAAATTCCAAAAAAGTAAAGGACTGCGAAAATATTTGTTTGAAGGCGTACCTGTTTTGCTTGAAGTATTGAAGTCATAAATCTTATTAATATCAGGCGACAGACCGCAGATGACTATTTACCTAGCTAATGTCCTAGTAAAACATAATTTTGTTACACTTCGTTGGAAACATAAAAGTAGTTGGTTCAAATATATTGGTCTGACGTTATCTCTGCCTCGAAAACTTTGTCGTCAGAGTAGGAAATTATTTGAAAATTTAGCCTGTTAGAAAATTACAGTTGTATGGTAATTGCTTACGACCTATTTCCAAAACCTACTTCTGTTATCGTTGTTGACTTCACAGCATTTATTATTGAAAAAAAGTGTGAATGATGAAAGACATAATTTGCCTGTATGAACAAATACTACATCATTTCAAATGCAGTGAACACATTCGTGTATATGGGTCATTAGTGATAATTCACTAACAGAAAATTAAGGAAACAAATTCGATCGGACGTATTTCTGCCTTCTCGCTCCCCACTCACAGTGGATGCATAATCCAGTCCACCCTAATCAGGAATATCATCGATGATAATAGGCAGCCAGCTTGTCTTACTCCTGTATCCACTTCAAACGCTTTGCTGAGCTCTCCATTTTGGATCACCTGACACGTGCCACTGTCACATAGCCAGCTATTCAATAAGGTTGATAAAGATTTGGGCACTGCACTCCATAGTGTTGAGGTGATTTCCAAATCACTTCGCAGTCAACACTGTTGAAGGCCTTTTCAAAGTCGATGAAGTTGCGGTGCAGATTCTATGCTCTTCGACGATAATGCGTAGAGTCGTAATTTAATCCGAATATGATTTGCTTTCTCAGAATCCAGCTTGTTCAGGTTGGTGTTCTGCATCCAGTGCATCTTTTATTCTCTTCAGGATGACGCGACTTAGTATTTTGCTTGGTATGTACAAGGGCATGGTTTCTAGCAAGTTCTTGCAGCTCCCTAAGTCGCCCTTCTCTGATCGTTCGGCAAGGTAGCCTTTCTTCCAATCAGCAGGTACCTTTGCTCCTCCCAAACCTTCTGCAGTAGTGGAGTGATGATATCCACTGCGACCTCTGGATCAGTTTCCAGTGCTTTCGGAAGGATTTCATCTGGTCTTACTGCCTTCTCGGGCTGCAGTAGCTTGACTGCATTCGAAACTTCTGCTTTTGTTGGAGGATTGGTGTCCACTGGCAGTTTTGTGCCTGCCGTTAGTGGTATTTATTTCTAGATGAGTCAATTCAACAGTCCTCCGAAGTGATCAGCCGACTGTTTCCTTTGTCTCTCCTCTTTGGTAGTTAGGTTCTCTTAACCGTCTGAGTTGACTTCCTTCCTGATAGGCAATTAGTTATCTGATATGGTGTTCTGAGGTCTTTTTTACCTGCAGCCTGTTCCGCTTTGGTTGCCAGTGCGTCGTATAACTGTCTTTTGTCTTTCCTAACACTCTCATACACTTCTTTTTTTCAGTGCGTTGTACATGAAACTCAGCTTCTCCTTTCGTTGTCCATCTTTGCACCGGTTCGTCTTCTGTTTCATCTTACCTCTCTCCTCTATTAGCTTCTAGGTGTCCATAGAGAGACATTACCTTTCTTGTCTCTTCTTTCTTGCTAAAACGGCTATAGAGGTCTCCTTTAACACCACTTTCAGAGAGTTCCAGTGTTCTTCCACACAGGTTTTTTCAGTGATGCTACATAATGTATTCGACTTTGCTCTACTGGCTGCAGTGAATGTGTCCTTTGTAGTTTCGTCCTTTGGTTTTCTGGGTGTTGAACGTGAATCCTGGTCTATCTTCAGCTTCTCTAAAAGCCTTCAATTTGACCCTGAAGGTCCCTTACACTAGACGACAATCTGAGCCCACATCTTCTCCTCTGGTCGACTTTGTATCGAACAGACCACTTTTTCACTTTATTAGACGGCATTGAGATGAAGTATATCTGATTTTCTGGTGTATCTTTCAGGTTAAACCCATGTCGCCTTGCGTATATCCTTGTATTTGTACACACTGCCTTCTATCAACAAATCATTTAATGCACAAAAGTCTGAGAAGAGTTCTCCATTCTCATTCATTTCGCCATGAGCCTTCCTACCCATGATGAGTACTCCTCCTGTATTGTCTGCTCCAGGTTTAGCATTCATATCGTCCATTAGGATTTTGATGTCACCATTCAGGATGTTGTCCATTACTGTTTGCAGTGGTCTATATTAGTTATTTGTTTGTTTGTTTATTAGATGTATCACACAGTGGAACAGTATTATTTACTGGATGACGTTTCGAACAAAATTTATTGTTCATAATCATATCAATTGTAATCGCACAACTTCGAAACTTGAGTTTCATAGTTTTCTTTGTCTTCTCCTATTTGTCGTAGGGGTAGTAGAATTTTCCAGATATCTGGGACAGGTGTTGAGTCATTCCTATTACATGTATTTGCAGTTGATTCGATAAACAAAGCTTCTGTTATCAATTTCTCCCTCCACCCTGTGACATTAGATTTTAATACTGTCATCCTATTGTGTGGTTGTATGTAACTGCATGTAGTGCTATAGCTGAACTATCCTCTAGATTTCTTATCTTATTTGGGTCAACCAATCTAGATTTTGTTTTATGTTCGGCCAGTCTGACTCACTGACCCTGTTCTACTAGTTTGACCTGACAATCATTGCAGGGCATTAGATAAACTAAATTGTTTTGTTTTAAAGGTTCCACAGGATCCTTTAACCGACAAAGCTTGTTTCTAATTGAGTTTGTGGGTTTGTATGCCACTTTTATTCCTACCTTGTTAAGAATTCTGCGTAAGGTTTCCGAGGTTCCTTCCTTGTATGGAATTACTACTGATGACTTAGATTCCTTATTGTTTCTTCCTTCTTCTCTTGTTCTGCGTTGTTTGTAGGTGCATGGCGTTGAATAATTGCAGCCTTCATTCCTTCCATTTTGTGTTTAATCTTGCTGTCATTATCCTGGAGGAGATTGCTTTCCACTGCACAAGAGCTTTGGCTGCTCTTGGTGACACCATGATAGTCGCTCCCTCAGTGTGCACTTGGTTGTCATCTGCGTGACTGGAGTGGACCATTGACTATCAGTTAACAATTTGGATTGTCTACATCCATTCCACCTGCTCTCACATATTCTTAGCACTTCTCCACCGTATCTTCGCATTTCTTCGGCAACCTAGGCAGCTCTCCCAACGTCGTAAACTGTACGAGCATTCTACGTCTTAATTTTCATTTTCGATTTGATCGATAGAAGCCACGTCGGCTGACTGGTTTTCTAAAAGCTTTCACCAACCCGCGTCATTTCTTCTCTCAGATTCCAAGGAAGGATAAGTTTATCTTTGATGTTTTTTCTATGTGTGGAAGTTTCGGTAGTGATTGGATTGGTTTTGCATGGAGGGTTGTTAGCTTCACTCTCAACCTTCGCTCTTTTCCATCACTAAGAACCGGGTATTAATCTAGATAATTATTTGCCTATGCGTAAAATTCAAATTTAGGGATGACATATATTGCTACGGACACTTCTTTACAATAATTGTGATTTTTGACCCTTTATATTTCACTAACGTATGTGTTGCTTGGAAATCTACAGCACTTATCACAGGAAACTTTATCAGAACTGTAAATTCATTGTCTTCATGAGGTTCAAAGATTTGAGTCAGATGTCACCGAAATCATTTCCAGTAGACTACTGCAGGCATTGATCATCAATTTGAGTTCGTCAATTCAATAGTGAAGTTCAGAGAGCTGATCCAAATGGATAAACAAGAGGAACTCTGGTTGGCAGTAAACCGGCCAACAGTCTATTATCTAATGTACATTAAGAAGGAAATGGTTACGGATTAGGTATACACTAAGGAGATGACCAGAAGACATCACACACCAAGCCGTCGAGTGGGACCCTACTTAGAAATGACCTGTTTGGTACCCGAGTGAATCAAGAAGAGAGGAAATAGGAGCTTACGAGCAGTTTTGGAGCCAGTTTGAAATGAAATGATGGCTGAGAACTGAGTGAAGTGGAGATATGCTTTTGAAGCTCTGTGCTCCACTCGGTAGATGGGGAATGAATAAAAATAATAAAACAGATACATGTGTTTATTTCATTATCTTTTACATTTATATGTGATTACAATTCTCTTATCAAATTTAGTTAATGAGAGAATTACTATCTTGGAAGAGTCTAGTGGCAGAATTTAGTTTCGTGAAACAGAACAACAGATAATACGACACACTGAACAAACGCCTGTTGACATATCGCAGTGTCAGAAGTTAACAGATGAAAAGTTAACTGAAATAAAACGTTGTGTAGGTAATCAAAAGGGAATAGTCATCAGCATAATACCAGATCACTGAAAGAGAACAGTGTTGCGTTCAAGTGTCCCTTATCACCTGTGTTATTAAGGTCGTTGTGATAGGGAAATACGTTTTAACCTGGTGATTTGAAGCACTCTCATTTATAAGTCAAATTTATATGCTACGAAAATTTCCATGTCATTCAAAACGACAGGCCTATTCCCACAGATGAACACTGACATTTACAGATAGCAGACTGATTCCCAATACTGAATGCAGTGACAGTTTGAATTCATAATATAATGAATAGCTTGATTATTTAGAAGAGAAAGAGGTGAAGTGTGACTTTTGCTTCCAAGATTTTACTAAAGTTTTAACGCCATTAAAAATAAATGGACCTTGAAATAATAGAAAAGATCTGTAGCTCGGATGGATGATTTTGATGTGATTTCGTTCCCTGCCATTAGTGGTTCGATTGTAAAGCTTTCACTGATTCGATTATGAGCATTAAATTGTGTTCGAAATGTAAGAATTAAACAAGCTATAGTCTGTCATTGTGAGATGCATTAAATGGCTGTATTATGTGAGAAAATGCAGTGTTTAACTGAGAAGCTCGGGAAAGCGTAGAAGCACGCATGAAATCCATTGAAAATGAACTCTGTTTTGAATGAAGTGTCAAAACCTCACAGTTGACTGCTAGTAGGTAATAGGTTCCAGTTGTTTGTTTATAAGATGTGA